GTGCTTAACATGCTTCTACGATTGAAGACGAAATCTTCCGTCGGTCCTGATGGCATTCCCAACTCTTTCCTCCGGCGTTACGCTGAACCACTAAGCGAATTTCTCATCGCAATCTTTCAGGTCTCTCTAGAATCCGCGATACTTCCACTTGACTGGAAAATTGCACGCATTGTACCAATTTAAAAAAGGGCAACCCATCTTCAGTTTTAAATTACCGTCCAATTTCTATTTTATCATCTTCTTGCAAAATGATTGAGCATATCGTTTCTGATTACATTAATAATTTCTTAAATGAGCATGACATTATAACTCCTTTCGAACATGGATTTAGGAAGGGTCTTTCGACAATCACCCAATTAAGCACCGTCTTACATTCTTTCGCTTCTGTTCTTGACAGAGGTGAACAAATGGACATCATCTTTCTAGATTTTCAAAAGGCTTTTGATGTAGTTCCTTATGACAAATTAATCTGCAAATTAGAGTTCCTTGGTTTTCCTGGCTTCATCTTATCATGGTTCTGTTTATTTAATGCATCGGAAACAGTGTGTTATAATTGACGGACAACAATCTGACTCTTTCCCGGTAACCTCAGGGGTCCCTCAGGGAAGTGTACTTGGCCCACTATTACTCTTTATTTATTGCAACGACATGACAGATGTCATACAAGCCCCAGTAAATATTCGTCTTCTCGCAGATGACTGCGTTATTTTTAAAGAAATTAATAGTGTTGAAGACCAATGCTTGCTTAGTGCAGCCTTAAACAGTATTTTTAAGTGGAGCAATAAGTGGGGCATGAAGCTAAATTCTTCTAAGTCTGTGCTCCTGCGTATAACTAAAAAAACAGTACCCCTGATGTTTTCATTCTCCATTGGCCAGGACTCATTGATTGAAGTGAAGGAGTACAATTATCTTGGAGTTACCATTACTAACAACCTCAACTGGAGCACCCATATTACTAACACCACCTCTTCTGCTTTCAGAAAATTATGTCTACTTCGACACAAGCTTAAAGATGCATCCCATGACGTGAAAGCTTTAGCCTATAGAACTTTTATCAGACACAAATTAGAATACGCCTCCATTATTTGGGATCCTTTTACCAAAACCAATATTAATTGTCTTGACAGAATACAGAGAAAAGCCATGCGATTCATCTTTTCTAAATACAGCCGTTAGGATTCTGTAACGGATCTTATACGTTCCAACGGTTTTCACACACTTCAAATGAGGCGCAAAATATCCCGATTGAAGTTCCTCCATTCTTTGTTAAATCGTAAATTTTTTATAGATCCCAGTCCTTACATAACCCTTTCTGAGACTAGGAAAACCCGTCATTCCCATCCCCTCACACTCTCCCCTTATGTTGCCAGATCTAAACTCTTTAAATATTATTTTTTCCCCGCACCACAGAGGAATGAAACCTAATACCTATTGATCATCAGGACTCAACTGAATCTATACAGAATTACTTCTTCACTATTTCCTAATTATATTTTATTTAGAGTTGTTTTTATTGTTACCCGATTTGTTTATGATATTGAATTGTGCTTTGTAGACGTATTTATGTTGTACCCTGCCCCTCCTGCATGGGCCACATGGCCTGCAGTATTTTGTAAATAAAAAAAAATAAAATAAAAATTATAGTTACGTGCATATTTGCCATAGTCACGGTTTGAAAGAAAATGCAAAGAGTAGTCTTATATATTGCTTGAAAACCGAATGCTTCCTTGAAGTCTATCCAATTGCATGAAAGAACAACAAAAAAGCAACCAATATCTAGCACCACTAGCAAAAGTTTTAAAAATATACGCCATCTCCGCCTAAAGGGAATCTTGAGGATATGCGAAGCACCATTGGGGGCACATACCAAGTTTCCGCTTACGTTCCATCGGCTTTCCCGCTAGTGTGTGCAGTTTTAATTTAGTATGTGTTACCATTATGTTGTGTTTATGCGTTGTCGAGGTAGTCTCGCTTTAATCGTGCGGGCGCTCCACCGGTGCCCGGTAACTGCAGTTGTCTGGAAAGACTCGCTACCCTCGCTGCAGACTCGCGTTGTCTCTCTGTATCGGAAACGGCTGCTCTACGCCGGCCTTCCGGATTTCAGGGTTCGCCACTCAACGCCGTCGCTTGGCTTGCGCTTCCCTGGCCCAGAGTTCAGAGTCAACCTGCCTGCGCAGGAGCTTGCGTTAAGCATCACAATCCCCGTGCTGCTGCTGCTCCACGACGATCTCGATCTAGGCAGAGGTTAGAGTGCTGCTGCAACTGGTGCCTGCGTTGACGTCACAACTCATCTGAACGGGAACGAAGCGAGAATGACGAAAGGCGACCGAGAGCACGCGCTTACATGAAACGGGGTGGGGAGAGAAGGTTGAGGGTTTACAGGCTGCAGTGAGGAAAACGAGAGAGAGAGAGAGTAAGTGCATGCGCAGTGGAGAGTGGACGCCACCGTATCAGGCTCGCTCAAGAGATGCTTCAACGAAGCGACACCAACATATAGTCACCCATTTTGTGCAAAAGGATACAACAACCAGAAGCTAGAGCCACAAGCAAGAATAAAAATAAAAATAAAACGCGCAATCGGCTCATGAGTTGTCGCGAGAATTGACCCGCCGCGCGACCCAATCACACCACTCGGTGATCATCCCTGGCGCCGCCGACGTACCACACAAATGCTGATTTACAAGCTACACAGAATACATGCAACACTACAGACAAGCAAAGCGCGTCTTTCCCGCACCTCATCCGAGTCTAAACAGGCAAGAAGCATCGGAATACCGACAGCTACAAACGAACTGCTACTCGAACCCTGTGCACCTCCACAGGAGCTACCCACACTTGTACCCGGACAATAAATATAAGCTATGTGTAACAGAAAAGGCGTCTTACAAACATATATTATGGGAATGCCCCAACTTATCAACAAGTTCTCTTGAGGTCCTCCGGGTGCAGTGGCTGCTTGTGCTGCTCAGCTCGGAGGTTCAAGAACAAAACTGGGCTATCCAGCAGGCCAGGGAGGCTGTACCGAGACAAGGTCTCCCGGTACCTCCTTGTGCAGTCCAGCCCGGACCACAAACATGCCGGATACGAAAATAAAGTTTATTCATCATCATCATCATCATCATCATCATCATCATCATCATCATCATCGATGAATGTTCATAGGTGCCCTGTGGTACAGCCAATGTGTATATGGTTGAGGCGAGCGAACAACTAACATTCTCTACCAATGATCGAACTGCAGTGCCATCACAGAATGCAGCCGATTCCGTGCCGCGCACATGTGATTGCGTGGTGATTTTGTGAAGGAGCTGGCACCAGCTCCACATTTTCTGACTTTGTGCTTCGCACCATTCGTTTTTCAAGAGAGGCATCGCATCGCATCAGAAATTCCATCCCCATGTTCATTGTAGCGTCCATAATGTTGGCGAGGCCCAGAGGAAATGTAATAGCGTCCGCTGACGATGTTGCGACCAAAACGAAGAAATAAAAACACGTAATTATTCTAACGCAGCCGTAAACAAGGCGCGGTTGCTTACCTTCCGTGCTGGACAGCTGGAAAGCACCGTTACCACGTCTCCTAAATGCTCTTGAAACCACACCAGAAACTTGAAAAAGTGCTTTATCTTTTAACTGAATAAGGGCGCGCACACAGACACAGACACTAAAACAGGAAATTGCCTGGACCAGGAACAGCTACTCGCAACTAAAGTTTATTCGAAAGAAATGTACCTATGTATCACTTCTGTCATATGACCTGTTAGGGGACAGGCAGGTGACTGGCAGGCAGGTGACATGGCCACGTCATGTGGCAGAAGTGATATATATGTAAATACCTGTCTCTCGAACAAACTTTAGTTGCGAGTGGGCACTCTTGGTCTGTGTAATTTCCTGTTCTAGTGTCTTTGTCTCTGTGCGCGCTCTTCTTTAGTTAAAAGATGAACCAATACCAACTAGCCTGATTATCCGTGCTATTGTAAAAGTGCGTTTCTGGCAAGATTTTGTTTGTGTTTGAGCAGCCAAGAACACGGCAGTTATTTCTCGACATCGCTGAAGGCAGATCAAACTGTTAAATCAACACTGAAAGTGCATCCTTCCGTGCAATCGCCTATACACTCGCGGGAACAGTTCTCGCCCAAGCCCGCCAACACTTCTAACCCATGGCGGCAGATGGCGTCGTCAGCGCTTAGCGTATCGCTTATATACACCTTTTCTATTGTTTCAGCAAATGGAGCTTCCGAATCGAAATATTATAAGGTTTGATATATAGATTACATGGAGTTAAACGTCCCAAAACCACCACATGATTATGAGAGACGCCGTAGCGGAGGGCTCCGAAAATTTCGACCACCTGGGCTTTTTTAACGTGCACTCAAATCTGAGCACACGGGCCTAGAGCCTTTTCGGCTGCCCCGAAAATGCAGCTGCCGCAGCTTGGATTCAATCCCGTGACCTGAGGGTCAGCAGCCGAGTACCTTAGTCACCAGACCACCACGGTGGGGCTCAGGTAAAATTTGCTTCCCTCAAACAGCATCGTAGTAATTTCCAGGGAATTCAGAAGGTCTTAATCAGCCTTAATCCTGTAAAGCGTGACAACAGGTGTAAACGTTTCGATACTAGTTCAACATATCTTCAATATATCAGCTTCTGCATACTATGAAGTAGCTTGTTGGTCGATACTTTCAGTATATTTGTGTAAAAAAAACCCTTCTTCCAGAGAAGACATGAAATTGTAAATGTAGGGCTTGTGTTTTTTTCTTAGGCGCGATAATAATAAGAATTGACAGAAATTGATGCCATATATGTTTACCTTGGGGTAAGCTTCTTCAAGATAGGTTTACCCCAATTAAAAGAATGTTCCATAACAAATAATAGATATTTATTAGGTGAGCGTTACGATCACTGAGACTGCTACACATTGGAAACAACCTTCCGATATAAACAATTATCAAAACTTATGCCAATTGGCAAAAGACGCATTTGTATTTGTTTGTTTTTTTCAGATAACAAGCCTTTACAAATCGGCAGATACGTCTACTCGGACTACAAGGACTGCCTTATTTTAGAAATGCCTTACGGGAGCTCGCAAGGTGAGATAATGAGTACACTGTGATGATATTGACAGCTTCCGCAAGTAACTTATGCTGACACGTAATTCGATAAACGTCCGCTCTCTCTTTACGTTGAAGCTGCTGAATACTGGCTGCAGAGTAAGGCAGCTGATAACGAGGCAGAAGAATCTTGAGTCGGGCTGTTTTTGGTGGTATTGCCATCAGTACTTAGGGGCTGCAATTATCATTGTAAAAGATAACTGGGCAAACTACACACACAGTGTGAAAGAGGTCCTGCATAAAGTACTAGAATATGGAGAAAAAATAGATATTGTCGTCTAGTTTGCTGGCTGTAGCTATAGGTCATTACGCGGGACGTGATTGAGAGTGCAGGTCAAGTGTTTCATAGTGCGATGGGTTGAACCATTCGTCACTTTAGAAGTGCGCTGAATGAATATAGGTGGTGGCCAAGGAATGCAATATTATAAAGAAATTTCACCATGCTTCCGCACTTGGGCTTCGTAAATTCAGTTCAATCTGCGCACAAAAAATTTTGCTTTATTCAATGAGAGTAGAAATTTGCGGAATTGCTAAGTAGTTAGGAAGGGACCAGCAAAATAAAATCCCGGTTTGGTGATGAAACTACTGAATCCTAATATAGCGCTTCACTATCGAGGCACGAGAATTGAAAACAAAGGAAACAACTACTAACAACGTAGCTGTGGTCATGTGACCTAAAACAAATGTTTGGACCGTAAAAAAAAGGTGCAAGTTTTGTCCGGGAGTGCCCATCAAAAGCAACTCTTTTGGATCTTGTATTAATGCCTCATGGTGCCTTAGATGTGATGTTTATGTTGATTCATCTGGCATGAAAGTGTGCAGTATAGTTTTGTCAAGAAGCTGGCTGAGATTCTCCACATATACATGATTTGCAAAAATAGTGTGCAGCTGTGGCAAATGCAATACACCTTCAAAGTGTCAAAAAACACTAGTAGTGGAGGGAAAAAAAAACTTCCGTTCATTAAAACCATTTGAACCATCGCATGTCACTTACAAGTGAATTCTGCTTCACTCTTCACAAGAACTGAATCCAATGTCTTTCGTCAAATACAAAACAAATTTGTTGGAGAGATATTGCTGTCAACACTCTTTCTTCGGTTTGACTACACTTGATGCGTTTTCCTTCTTTTAATGTGCATAATAATCTTTTCGGTTCCCCTCTCTAGAATGCATGTTATGGATATCTTGGGAAGTAAAGAACAACATACCGAAAGTGTGCATGGATCAACTCGAAGACAACTGTGAAGGATCGAAGCTTTCTTTCGACGAAGCCACCTGCAGCCCCTTTTTTAAGCAAACTAATAAAAAAGGATAACAACAATAAAACCATGTTTCTGGGCGAATATATTCCTAACCTTTGTTTCTTTAGGCACAATTTTCTGGCTATTTCTTGGCGTGCACTGACAATACCAATGCAGAGTGCTGGATGGATGGATGCATTGATATGGCTGCACCCTTTAGATTGGGTGGTGGCTAACGCCACCTAGCCTTAATACTTAGTGAACCAAAAGCTTGATTTATTTTTTTTTTACCTTTAAGTAGTGAAGTTGAGGACTGGTACTTTGCAGTGGAGGGTTTAATTTTGACTCGTACTTTGACTTTAGCCACCAATCAGATAACCTCCTTCTAGTTAATTCTACTCGCTTAATGTCTACTCTGCCCTTCCTGTCCCTAAACCCCAGTGCTTTGAAAACCTCTGCGCCATCATCTTGAACTTTAGGGTGAAGCCCTTTACAGAACATTATCAAGTGTTCAGCAGGTCCCTTCTCCTCTTCACAAACACTGCATACCGTGTCTAACCCTTCGTACTCGGCCCGATATGTTTTGGTTCGCAATACTCCTGTCCTGGTCTCAAACAGTAAAGAACTACCCTGAGTATTATCATAGATCAATTCCTTGGCCAATTCCTGCTTAAAAGTTCAATAGATCTTTTGTGCGGACTTTTTAATCATGCAAATTATCCACAAATCCGTCTCCGTTTCCTTCACCTTCTTCTTAACCGGTAGTTCTTTTTGGTTTGGCCTCCTGCTGTTTTCCAAGTATTTACCCGTCGATTTTCTGGCTCGCTTCCTGCATTTTGTATCGACATTCTTCATGTACAAGTAGCTCAAAACCTTTTTAGCCCAATGCTCCTGCCCCATTTCTCTCAATCGCTTCTCAAACTTTATCTTGCTGCTAGCTTCCCTGCCCTCAAATGATGTCCATCCCATATCACCTTGTACTTCCTGATTTGATGTATTCCCGTGAGCTCCTGAAGCAAGTCTACCTACTCCTTGTTGGTTAATTTCTAATCTCGCTTGAACATCTGATCTCATGCACAAAACTGCATTGCCGAACGCCAGACCAGGAACCATGACCTATTTTCATATTCCTCTCACAACATGATACCTATTGTAATTCCACAGTGCCCTATTTTTCATCACTGCTGAATTCCTACCTTTAGTCGTCGCGTATACTTCGTGTTCCCTTAGGTACTCGGTCCCATTGCTTATTCAAACGCCCAGATATTTGTATTTATCTGCTATCTCCAGCGTGACTTCCAGTATCCTAAACTCACTACCTTCATTATCATTAAAAATTATGACTGCTCATTTTTACTTTCTGAATCTGACATCTAACCTATCTCCCTCATTGCCGCTATACACCCTATAAAAGTTAATGATTTCAGCATCGTGTTAGACTTGGGTTTTTTATTGCGATAGCAATTATATGGGAAATCTCAGCTGATTTTTGCTGTCACCATTGTCAGCATGTCCCGGAAATGTTTAGGTATTCATATATATGAAAAAGAACAAATAAGTCCGTAAAAATTTCAAAGCCACATACCAGGGATTCCAATCAGTGACTCGTCGGTCCACAGGCCATATGCACTAGCCAGCACATTTACTTGCCAAGCTTTCTTTTTTCTTTGATGCCGGGAATGAACACTAATAATTGGGAACTACGCACAACATAATTCGTCATAATAGATTTACCTCAATGTACAGAACACCTAAATCGGTACAAACAGTAGGGGATATTTCAGAAGACAGGGAAACACACACAAGCGTCCATAAGGGAAAGCCACTCAGGAATTGGGTCACTTGCGCGGGTGATCTACTATTGCGCACAACGGTGAGCTATTCATATCCACCATTTAGCGCTCGCTGCACGCAAACCTCAGAACAGCTTGAGCGTATTTTCTATTAGCAACGCTTTTACCTATTGTTTCACGCAAACACCCCCTCTCTTCAAATTGAAAACTGTCCGCGTGACAAGCAAGAAAACGTGACTCCCTTCTGTTCTACTCTTGCAAAGAGACGAATGTCACAAACTGTGCTATACTGCAGAACTACTCTCCTCTGCTTCACCGAGCACACCCCGCCGCGGTGGTCTAGTGGCTAAGGTACTCGGCTGCTGACCCGCAGGTCGCGGGTTCGAATCCCGGCTGCGGCAGCTGCATTTCCGATGGAGGCGGAAATGTTGTAGGCCCGTGTTCTCAGATTTGGGTGCACGTTAAAGAACCCCAGGTGGTCGAAATTTCCGGAGCCCTCCACTACGGCGTCTCTCATAATCATATGGTAATTTTGGGGCGTTAAACCCCACATATCAGTCAATTACTTCACCGAGCACTATGCTCAGCTTTCTTATATTCACACTGACGCCTCAACCTCTCGGGTGACTTCCTCTTATGGCCTTTATGCCCCCTATACAAGACAAACGCTATCCTATCGGCTGCAGCGGAGGACATCCTTGACGACAGCAGAACTTGATGGCATCACACTTTATATCTCGCGCTAAACACTGGTTCGATGGGTAATTTTGTGCGACTTCAAGGGCGCCCAGCAGGTATTCTTCAAACTCCCAAATAAAACGAATTCCCACCCTGTTTTATTCGACATAGCGTCCTTACACCACCTGGTTATTACCAAAGGGAACTTCATTACATTTCAGCAGACACCGGCTCAATGTGATATACTGGCCAATAAAAAAGCAGATGAAGCAGCACGAACTTATGTCCCCAATTCTTATGCTTCTCAGATGGCTGAAAAATTTGCGTTGGAAGAATTTAAAAAGATCTAAGACCTTGCGACACATCAGTATGCCTTCCTTCACTCAATCAACCCGTATCTCACAAGAAGATCCCCATTCCAAATTTTTCGACATCTGAAAATGCTATACTTTAATCTGAACACTGCCTATTGAAACAGCTTACCGTACCGCTTCGGTCAAGCAGCAAATCTATACTGCAACAGCTGTGGCACCATTTTAACTGTGGAACACATCTTATTTGATTGTAGAGCGTACGCTGACAAGCGTGACTCTATAAACATAGCATGAATTCGATATGGGAAAGAACATTCTCACTTGACTGTGTATTGGGCCCTTTAGCCTGCATCACGATAGGAAGGCACGCTATGAAACTTTTGGACAGTATCGGTCAGCTCGACAAACTTTATTTGTACCTTGAAACCATGCAATAAGATATTATCAACGCACGTTCTCACCCAATAGACAAATGATTCGGCTTATTTTTCAAAATTTTGTATTTTGTAATCTATCTTAACATGTTCTTCTTTGTGTCTGTCTCTCTCGCTATCCCTACTTTCTATCCGTAACCTTCTCGCAGCAGAGAATTTAGCCAACCAAATTCTCTCATATTCTAAAAAGAGTTCTCTCTCTCTCTTCTCTCTTGGCCCATGGGCTCTACTCTTTTGACGAGAGCGCGGCGTGCCGCAATCTACACTTGTATGCCTCCCATTTGTGCAGTCTTTCGTTACCAGCATGATGAGCCCGACGACGAGTGCTTTTTGGGTGCGATTCTCAGAGCACCTTGCGAATGCATGCTTCTTGTGTGCGTACGGAGGCACGACTGCGCGGCTAATCTCACTGCTGGCTTCGACGAAGGTAGTAGGGTGTGAAGGGAGTGTGGAGAGCATCTGCGGCACGCGAACTGCGTTAGCGTAGGCAGCGGACCAGCCACTGGATGGACGAAAGGGCGGCAGCGTGTGTGTTCTGCCAGCGCTTGCCGGGAGTGCGCAGCTGTTGTTTAGCTCAGTGCGCTTGCCTGGCACTGGGAGCTTCGCCCGGCAGCGACCCTGACGGCGGAGTGCCGAAAAGAGCTCCGTTTCTAAAAAAGTACCACCCACACACTCTGAACAGGTGGTTAACCAGTGAAGCTGAAACGCGCGGCTACATGGCAATCGCAGACGTCACAGCCCGATAGCAAAGTGGCGATTAAGAACCTGCTGCCGAAAGCGAGTGTTGGCCCCATAGAAAGCGTTCCCGCCATTGCCACGTTGACACTGCTCTTTCTGCAACGCTGTTTCCCCAGCTTGCCGTTGTCGCTTAGCTTGCATTCGGCTCAAAAAGCAGCTGGATCCTCGGTGCGCAGTTGCTGCTCGCCGCTCGGGCTTGTTTTTGCTCCCGGACAGCTGGATCGGCGCGGCGAACATGAATTCTTTATCGGATCAGCTGTTGGCGCTGTTCTCCAGATATCGTAGACGTCCGTGTCCGACCCATGCGGAAGTTGTTAATTCAAACTGCTGGGCGTGAGCTACGCGGCGTGGCTGCGAAGAGATGAATTACGACGCTGCCAATGGCGCTTGCCCATGGGTGCGACGTATACGTAACTAACGACGCAGCCAATCGACACCGTTATCGTTTTGGTGGGAAATAAATTTTCATTGCGGCTAACCATATAGGGCTTTCGCTGTAATAAAGAGAAAAACACAGAAAATGGGCAAAGAAAACAAAAACAAGTGGAGGGGGGGAGAGGACGAAATCTGAGGGGAAGCAATAAAGGCTGCCCAGTTTCACACTTTCTTCAGGTTTGGAACCATTAGTGCGACACTGCTTTAGTTTTTTTAAATATTCGGAGCACACTTGGGGGCCAGGTTGTCGCATATATGTTGTTGTGGGCTGTCTTTCTCGTTTGGCGTAACGCTCTCTGTGCACCACAGTAAGCACGGGCTCCCGCCAAGAAGCTTTTACTTCCTCGTGTTGGTCGAGCGCCTTGAAGATGGATCACTTATAATCATCAGCACACAAAATAAGAATAGCACTTGGCGTAACTCACGGAAAACAACGTATGCAGGTATAAAATACACAGGATACAAACGTGAAACAGAAGGAAGAGCGTGAAACAGAAGAAATTAGAAACTGAACGTGGCTGCGTTCAATGTTATCTAGTGAGACTAGTCTATTTGTGCTATTCGAGGAATCAGGCGGTGTTGAATGGGATGTAATGGGGCTCAGCGACGTTAGGAAGACACGTGGGGCATATAAATGTTGAAGAACGGCCATGTTCTATGCTACCGTGAATTAGTTGACAGAAAAGAGCTAGG